TTGGTGTCCCCAATAAAACCGGGAATTGGCGGTCGGTCATCGATTTATCTCACCTCAACTGCTTCATCGTACTCTGGAAGTTTACCATAGTCTTTTTTTGACCCTGAGACGGGCGTTTTCTCCAGGGTTGTGGATGGTGAAGATAGATGTCTCCAATGCTTACCTCCACATCCCAATTGCTCATCAGTTTTGACTTTACCTTCAGTTTGTCCATCTTGGGGTGGTTTACCAATTTTTGGGCACCCCCCTTCAGACTTGCCTCGGCTCTTTATATGTTTTGTCACATAGTTCGAGCTTCTGCACAGCATCTCCAGGCTCTGGAGATGCGATTTTATTATTACATAGACGACTGCCTCTTTCAGGAATCGGCCACTCACACTCACCAACTCCTTTCTGTGGTGGCTCAATGGGCTGGTTGATCAAATTAGAGAAGTCATTCCTTCGAGCCACTCAATATGTAGTCCATTTAGGGGTCTTTTTCAACACGAATATCATTTGTGCTCTGCCTACTCCTTTACATCTTTGTTCGATGGAACTTTTGGTTCACAATGCCCTCTTGGGTTTTATCACTTTTGTGGATGTGGTCCTCAATGACTGCACTAGTCCTTATAGATCATGCCCATATAAGATCCCTTCAGTGGGCGCTTCATGAACAATGGAACCTTGCTCTGAACTCTCTTCCACCACCACTATGTTTTTGGATGTTGGGTGTATTATACGGGGCCCATGCACATCACAATCACCTAATCGCATGTCATGTGCTGGGTGCTTTCAATCTCATCGCGGATCGTCTGTCGTGCCCCAACCAAATATATCCAACAAAGTGGATGTTAGATACATTTGTTTTCAGGGATCATTGCCATTGGTGGGGTTTTCCCCAATTGAATGCATTTATCATAGGCCTCAATACCAAGATGCCCCTTTTTTGGTCACCAGTACCACATCCACAGGCTTTGGTAGTCAGTCTTCAGCCAGGATTGACCACACAAATATCTTTATGAGTACCCTCCAATCCGATTAATTATTCGGGTGATTTCTCTTGTCCACTCCACTCATTGTTGGGTCCTCCTGATTACTTTCTATTGGCCAGCTCAACCTTGGTTTCCAAAGCTACAATGTCTGTTCCTATCACCACTTGTCCCTACCTACTTCATAAATCTCGATCTCCACCCCTGGCTTTTGTCCTGTTCTTGGTGAGATGATTCAATTCCACACATTGAGTTGCCTTCTTGTTAGCTCGTTCTATACAGCCATCTTCCATGGAAGTATACCAGTGCAAGTAGAAAGTATTCTGCTGTTGCTTTGCTAACAGGGGGTTTCCTGCCAATAAGCCTTCTGTGGCTCATGTGACAGAATTTCTCACCTGGCCCTTCAATCATGGGCCGTTGGTCTCCTTGCTTTCCAGATATTGGGCAGCCCTATCTCATAACTTGTGTTTTTTCCAATACTGTAAGGTTTTTATTTACCCTGATCATACCATGCTCACGTGTTCTGGATACATTGACCCCCCAGACGTCCAACCCTTCCAAATTGGGACATTAATGTGGTTCTTCATGCCATTACTTTACTTCCATTTGAATCACTTCCCTTGTTTAATCTGTCCCTTCAAACATATTTCCTCCTTCTCTTAGCCTGTGGATGTCATAGGTCAGATTTGTATGTCATTAACATTTCACGTACCCTTTATTACCATACCTATCTTCTCCTTTATCCTGATTGTTCCCTAAGGCCTCGGAAGCTTGGTAGAGTTGTTCATCCTTTTATTTTGTTTCCCACTTTTGCCCTAGACTGGATCCGGATAGGCTTCTGTGTTCGGTCAGGGCCCTTCATTGTTATGTGGCATGTAATGCTCCCTTTCAGGCTATGTGCAGCTGACTTTTTATCCCATGGTAATCCTCTTCCCTTTGTGATCTTTCACTTTCTACTTTTACTATTTACTTAAAAAAGTAGTTGAAAGAAGTTTCAAAAGAATGGCATAAGGACTGGGCTATCCTCATAGGTTTTAAGTTTAGTATACAATCAATCACACTATAAGCATCCTAAGTTTTTGTGATACTTTTAAGCCTTCTTTTGAGTAAAAGTCAAATTGATGTATAAAGACGTAAATAAGGGATAAAATGTAATAGTTGGAATTAACTGGTAACTTTGATGATTATGATTGGAATAGAGAGAATACACACTATATTTACTTTTAATTAGCTTTTACCATTCACCAAATTATAGGTATTTTACATTATTTTTCTCAAAATTAGATGAAAAAAGAAAGGCATGAAAAGGTATAATAAAAAACTACAATATACCAGAATTTGGGCTACGAGTGTATCACAATAAATATCAACGTTTTTTTAGTCATTTATACTTCGTAAAAATAATGAGTTATTATGCAGACATAACTGTTGCCAGTTGTGTTTGTCCAGATATAGTCTTTGATACTAAAGTTTTTAATGTTCTCATAATAAGTAATCTTTTAGACTAAATGTCATTTTCAGATTGTAGCTTTGAAAAGAAAACCAGTAGGCTTTATCAAATACAAAATATTAACTACTCTTTTATGTAAAAAAAAAATAAAGAATCTTTACACTTTATTCTCCCCCAAGTGAGTAGAACTGTAATATCTATAACACACAGACAGTTTTGGCTCATGCTAGTATCAATTTCTTAAAAGGATTGGAAATAGAGCTAGAAAATTTTCAAGTTTTAATTTGCGAGATATGTTTGAAAAAGTTTCTTTCTGAAGAAAAGAACAAATGAGGTATTTCATAAATGAATAACCGAGCTCTGATGATTTACAAGTTTTTTTTTGTTACATCAGAATTCTTTAATTAAATGCTTAAATATGTTGTTTCACT